TTTTCCAGCCCTGAGTTCACAAAGGGACTTTGTTCTTTTTTCCTTGACTGAACAGATCAATTTAAAAAATAAAACAGAATAAATACCTAGCGACACTTAACTCTCACCCTTGCAGTGGATATATTTAGGATTTTGTTTTTTGACTTCTTTCTCTTCCTTTCCATTATCTTTTGGGAGTTAGCTTGTTAGCTAGCTCTTGTTAGCTTCCATTTTTATTGATACAGAGAGTAGTTCCAAACCTCTCTGCTGCCCTGACCTGTCACCCCCAAGGCCTCTAATTTTATATTTCCAATTGCTTGTAATAATACATTTCTGGTGATTCCCTAAACATTTACATCTTGATAGTTCTCTCTCATCTTAGTTACCAAGGCCACTTCCTAAAATGGCTTTCTAGCACTGAAATGTGCATGTTTCTCACAACTGTTTTTTTTTTTTTTCTTTCATTTGTTGTGACTTACATCCATTCATTCTGTTTAGTGTTCATGATACTTATTTCCTCCTCTTCACTTCTGCCACTCCTGACTGAATTATAATCCTCCCACCTCGGCATCTACAACAGGGTTCACCCAGAGCTCCTGACCCCAACCCATTCTGTACTCAGCAGACAGAAGAGACTCTCAATCCCTATTTTCATTCTTGTTTTGCTCACTGAAATTTATATCATCTCCCAGGAATGGACTATATTCCGTCCGCTTCAATTCAAGGACCTCTATTATCTACTTCCTTTTCTTATCCAATAATGCTACTTCCTTGTTGGAAACACTCCATTTATAAGCAACTTATACTCCTTCCCTGTAGGAAACCTCATTTCATTCTAGACTCCTTACCCAGGCCTAAGAAGTGTCTGTCTGCTTGTCTTTCTGACCTCATTCCCTACCACCCTTGCCACAGTTCACTCTGCTATAAACATGCTTGATTCTTCCTGTTCCTTCCTACCCAGGCCCTGTGTGCTAGCTTTTCCCTTTGCCTTGAGAGCTCTTCACATGGGTCATTGCATGACTTCTCCTCTGTTGGGATTCAGTCCAAATGCTGTCTCCTCAGTGAGGCCTTTCCTGACAATCCTGTTTAAAATTGTGCATGTACGGCCACTACTGTCACATTTCTTAGTTTTATTTTATTCATAGTACTTTATATTATTTTTCGCTTGCTTATTATCTATCTGTGCCACTAGAATAAATAATCTACAGGGGCCTAGAATTTGACTTTCTTGTCGGCTGCTATATTCCTAAGACCTAGAACAGTGCCTGACACACAGAACTCAATAAATATTTGTTGAATGAATTATGCTGATATAATTTTTACTCCCCAATTAAGCCAACTAATTCTCTATGATGTCCTGCATATTTATTTGCCAATCCTTAGACATATGTTTTTTTCATTCTATTCCTCTCTACTGAATTCCCTTCATGCTTCTTTTTGTCAATTTTTATTAGTCACTTTCTTCAAAATCTAGCTCAAAGACCACCTTTAAAAAAATCTTCTCAAATTCTTCCTGCCATGAGCATTATATTACTTCTCCTCCCCACAGGATTTACCTCTATAGTTTTCATTATATTATCTTGTGCTTTAATTTATTTTTAACATGTTGCTTTATAACACAGTGTGTTCCTTTTTGAGTCATCTAGTTATTTTCTTGTTGAGAGAGGATATAGTTATGTGAGGAAAGCTTTGGACTGGGAGTCCTGGCTAACAATTTCAGACTTTGGACAGACCGTTTTCAACATTTGTAAAATCAAAGGATTAAGCCTTTCATTTGCAGACCAGAGGTTGCAAAATGGCAGGCCACAGGTTGTGTTACTGAGCCAAATTTTGGTCTGCCTGCCCGGTGCAGCAAAGCCAAACACTGACGTTGAGATTTGCAGTGAAATAAAATAAGGCATTTATTGCAGGATACCAATTCAGGAGAATTGGGAAGCTCGTGCTTAAGACCTGAACTCCCCGATGGCTTGCATGCAGGGGTTTTTAAAGGCAGGGAGGCAGAGGTTTGAAGTAAAGACATAAATCAACACATGCAGGCTGTGCATTGGCTTGACCTAAAAAGCCCTGACATCTCAAAGCAGGGGACCACTGGTCATAGGTAGATTCAAAGATTTTCTGATTTTGTTATTGGTTAAGGAGGTGAAGCTTTGTCTAAAAATTTAGAGTCCACAGAAAGGAATGTTGAGCCTGTGGATGTGACTTCCTCCAGGCTTCTCAGGAAGAAATTTAGAACAAAGAACAGAGGTTATAGTTCAGTCCTCGGTTCCCCCTTATCTGAAGTCTACATGCCAGCAGACAGCATTTTCCATTTGGTAGTGTCCAGGTTTCTGAAAAACAACTCAGGGACTTAGGTTAGGATGTTTTAATATCTTTAGTTTCTATAGGGAATCAAACATCTAATAACTTTCTTGGCTGTTGTTTTAAGTTACTATTACCTTATTACTTATCAAGTTGCTCATTTCCTTTTTTTTAAAAAAAAAAAAGACAGCCTTGCTTTGTCACCCAGGCTGGAGTACAGTGGCGCTATCTTGGCTCACTGCAGCCTTCATCTCCCAGGTTCAAGTGATTCTCCTGCCTCCGCCTCCCAAGTAGACTACAGGCACATGCCACCAAGCTTGGCTATTACTTTTTATTTTTAGTAGAGACAAGGTTTCACCATGTGGGCCAGACTGGTCTTGAACTCCCTATCTCGGATGATCCACCTGCCTCAGCCTCCCCAAGTGCTGGGATTACAGGTTTGAGTCACTGCGCCCAGGCTAAATAAAGATTTTCCTTTATTTCCATGCTTAGAGCACAGGGTGGGAGGTGCCCAGCAGGCCCCTCAGAGGAGTCCTGCTCTGTCTCAATTGGATAAGGCCCACGTATGTGTTTCATTCAGCCCTAGTAAAACTCAAATTACTTGACAATATTTAAAAATTGAGAAATTTTGGAAAGCTTGGAATTATATACACTATGAAAAAGATCAGAATAGATCCACATTTTTGGGTGGCAGAAAACTCATTGAGAAAGAAAGCAGCTGTCCCTTAATATCAGGTGTAGACACTGACATGATACAATGCTCAACTTGTTCGGATAGTTCACTTATTTTTGTTAACTCTGTTGGAGTTTCAATATGCAAACTTGTATTTCAGTATGCAAGATTGTATTATCTCTGAGGTACCTTTCAACCCTACATATCTATGATTATGGGTAAATGTGTTTGAACTGTCTACTCAGACTTAATGTTCTTGAAAGGCAGTGTCTGGTGCTTCTCCTTTGCTTGTTCAGGTTATAGTGCTGGTCATAAAGCACGTGCTTAGTATTTGTTTGTTGAACATTACATTTAGTTATATCTACAAATACGCAATAAAAACCAAATACCACCTAGTAAAAATGTATAACAGATGCCTAGTTTGTTCTTATAAAGAAAATATCCTATCAAAATGTAATTAAAATACTAACACAGTATTTGTATCATATGGAAAATCTAACTCTAGACAGATATCAACCAAATGAAGTTTCATTTAGGCAACAGAAAAAAAAATGTAATCCTTTAGTCTCCTTTCTTTGTGTGTAACTCCCATTAATTGTTCATTGTAGTTATATATGCATATCAAGAGCAAAATGTAATCTGGGGATAGAAAAAATACTGCTATTTGTTCCCCCAAGTAGTGATCATATGTTCAACAGCTGGGACTACCAAGATCTGCATTTATTTCAATACTAATAACTACCTTCGCTGTATTCCCAGAAAACCACAAAATATTTGGCATGGTTCAGGACCACCATATCTAATAAAAAATCTCATTGTTCTTTTGCAATAATTCATTAACTTATAAGGAGAACATATTTCACTGAGATAGTCTACATGGATTAACAGCAATAGCTAAAATATTTCACACCCAAGTTGGGTCATGTCTGGAACACCAAAGCAAATGGAAGTCTCGAGTCCATGACTCAAGGCAGTCTTCCCACCAGTGTTGCCAAAGCCCATAGTCTGAACACTTTCTTCTCTGTCTTTCCATTTTCTATTAAAGGGAGTACTCAGAAATTACAGAAGTATTTCATCTGAGAAAAAAATGCTTTTCTCAGAAACTCTGTGAAGTAAAAAAGGACATAGCTGATAACAGAATAAATCTCTTATGAAGTTTGGATAACTAAGATTTGAAAAACATTTTGAAATTTACTCTGATTTAGAACATATTTTAAAGAATTAAAAAAACAAGCTGGTTAGAAATTTTAACATTTACAATAAAACTTAATTTGGACTTTTTAATCTATAATTTTTTAATTCTCTCTGCAGGGATTGAACTGAAGTGTACTTTTATGCTGTCTGTGAAAAAAATTGCTTAATAAGTAAATAAACATTTTAAGTAATAGTTGAAAATAAACATTTACTTATCAGGGAAAACAATTTCAGTTTTATTTATAAATCACTCTATTCAAAATGGAGATGTATTAGTCAGGGTTCCCTAGAGGGACAGAACTAATAAGATAGATAGATATAAAGGAGAGTCTATCAAGTATTAACTTACACAATCACAAATTCTCTGGTAGGTTTGTCTGCAAGTTTGAGGAGCAAGGAGGGCCAGTCCCAGTCTCAAAACTGAAGAACATGGGAGTCTGATATTTGAGGGCAGAAAGCATCCAACATGGAAGAAAGATGTAGGCTGAGACTTTTCAGTCTCACCTTTTCAGTATTTCTGCCTGCTTTATAATCAGTGGCTGCTAATTAAATGGTGCTCACCAGATTAAGGGTGGTTCTGCCTTCCCCACCACACTGACTTAAATGTTAATCTCCTTTGGCAACACCCTCGCAAACATACCCAGGATCAGTACTTTGCATCCTTCAATCCAATCAAGTTGACGCTCAGTATTAACCATCACCAAAGCAAGATCAGTCTTTTTAGATATGCTGATCATTTTTATCTGTTTACAAAATCTGGGCCTGAACTGCCAGCACTGGTTAGTTATTTTCTGGTACTGTATGTCCTTGAAACTAATAAAACTGCATTTTCTTTCTTTTTTTTTATTGCATTTAGGTTTTGGGGTACATGTGAAGAACATGCAAGATTATTGCACAGGTACACGCATGGCAGTATGATTTGTTGCCTTCCTCCCCATCATCTATATCTGGCATTTCTCCCCATGCTATCTTTTCCCAACTCCCCACCCCCCACTGTCGCTCCCCTATTTCCACCCAACAGACCCCAGTGTGTGATGCTCCCCTCCCTGTGTCCATGTGTTCTCATTGTTCAACACGAGCCTATGAGTGAGAACATGTGGTGTTTGATTTTCTATTCTTGTGTCAGTTTGCTGAGAATGGTGGTTTCCAGGTTCATCCATGTCCCTACAAAGGACACGAACTCATTGTTTTTGATGGCTGCATAATATTCCATGGTGTATATGTGCCACATTTTCCCTGTCCAGTCTATCATTGATGGGCATTTGGGTTGGTTCCAGGTCTTTGCTATTGTAAACAGTGCTGCAATGAACATTCGTGTGCATGTGTCCTTATAGTAGAATGATTTATAATCCTTTGGATATATACCCAGTAATTGGATTGCTGGGTCAAATGGAATTTCGTTTTTTAGGTCTTTGAGGAATCACCACACTGTCTTCCACAATGGTTGAACTAATTTACATTCCCACCAACAGTGTAAAAGTGTTCCTATTTCTCCACATCCTCTCCAGCATCTGATGTCTCCAGATTTTTTAATGATTGCCATTCTAACTGGCGTGAGATGGTATCTCAATGTAGTTTTGATTTGCATTTCTCTAATGACCAGTGATGATGAGCATTTTTTCATGTTTGTTGGCCTCATGTATGTCTTCTTTTGTAAAGTGTCTATTCATATCCTTTGCCCACTTTTGAATGGGCTTTTTTTTTTTTTTTTTTGTAAATCTGTTTTAGTTCTTTGTAGATTCTGGTTATCAGCCCTTTGTCAGATGGGTAGACTGCAAAATTTTTTCCCATTCTGTTGGTTGCCGATTCACTTTAATGACTGTTTCTTTTGCTGTGCAGAAGCTGTGGAGTTTGGTTAGGTCCCATTTGTCTGTTTTGGCTTTTGTTGCCAATGCTTTTGGTATTTTGGTCATGAAGTCCTTGCCTATGCCTATGTCCTGAATGGTTTTGCCTAGATTTTCTTCTAGGGTTTTTATGGTGTTAGGTCTTATGTTTAAGCTTTTATCCATCTGGAGTTAATTTTAGTGTAAGGTGTCAGGAAGGGGTTCAGTTTCTGTTTTCTGCACATGGCTAGCCAGTTTTCCCAACACCATTTATTAAACAGGGAATCCTTTCCCCATTGCTTGTTTTTATTCAGATAGGAAAGGAGGAAGTCAAATTGTCTCTATTTGCAGATGACATGATTGTATAGCTAGAAGTCCCCATCATCTCAGCCCAAAATCTCCTGAAACTGATAAGCAACTTCAGCAAAGTCTCAGGATACAAAATCAATGTGCAAAAATCACAAGCATTCCTTTATACCAATAACAGGCTTAAAGAGAGCCAAATCAAGAACGAACAGCCATTCACAATTGCTACAAAGAGAATAAAATACGTAGGAATACAACTAACAAAGAATGTAAAGGTCCTCTTCAAAGAGAACTACAAACCACTGCTCAACGAAATAAGAGAGGACACAAACAGATGGAGAAACATTCCATGTTCATGGTTACGAAGAATCAATATCGTGAAAATGGCCATACTGCCCAAAGTAATTTACAGATTCAATGCTATCCCCATCAAGCTACCAATGACCTTCTTCACAGAACTGGAAAAAACCACCTTAAACTTCATATGAAACCAAAAGAGAGCCCACATAGCCAAGTCAATTCTAAGTAAAACTGCATTTTCTTTGCATGCAGTTGGTCCAGATCAGCGGCTTTTTCTATATGTATTTATTTTGGGAGTTTGAATCATTTTCATCTTCCATTGATTTTCAAACTATTGCAAATTGCACAGTTTACATGTTAAAGAGATCAAGTTATATAGAAGAAGAAATCTTTCTGCAAGGTATGTGACCTTAACTTTGCTAAGCCTTAGTAACCTTGCTCATTTATAAAATGGAGATGATAATAATACCTATTTCCTAGGAATGTAGAAGGGATAAATAGAGATAAGGCAAGCATTCTGCTAGTAAACAAGGTCCACATTATCATCATCATTCCCAATATATTTTGAAGATTCTGTATAATGACGCATGCATTTTCTAATTTATACTGCATTATTCTCATTTGCAGATGAAGACAAAGATTTGGAGAATTAGGAAGCTTGCTCAATAATGTTGAGGAACCAGCCTCCTCGGTTGCTTCTGATTGTAAACTAGCTGTGAGAAGGGCACCACTCTGCTACAAAAGCAATCTTAGAAATTAACCAGCACAAAGATCATCCATGACTAGTGAGTACAGTTCTGAGACTGGTTTTTATATGTGCCTTTTGGATCAGTCTCACCATTTTGAGGTTGTACCCTGGGCAGGGAACATGAGTCATTGCCTACCCATCCACTCCTCCACACTCTCCGTTATGAATTAAGTCCTAAGAATTCTTATCTCATTACTCCCCATGGGGTTTCAGCAGCAGTCATCTCTGACTTTTATTTTCACACTGCTAGTCTATTGCTTTCTTCAACTTTTCTAATATACTATTCAATGGTAGCTCAGCAAGTAACTTTGCATCATTATAGAACAGGAAAAAATTGTTTTTGGGTTGTGGATTGCTTTGCAGATGTTGCACTTTGCAAATCCTATATCACGCCATGACCCTGTAACCTGCTGGGAAGATGTAGCCCGAAGTGCAAAAGAAACTCCCCATAAAATGTTATTTTCCTAGGTTCCTTTCCCAACCACATAGATCAGATAAATGGAAAGAGAGGCATGTTGGTGGTGGTGGTGATGATGGTAGTACAATTTTCCCTCAGTATCCACAGGGAACTGTTTCTAGGAACCACTTCCCCAACACCCAAATCTGTGATGCTCAAGTCCCTTATATAAAATAATATAGTGTTTGCATATAATTTACCCACATACTCCCATATACTTTAAGGCATGTCTAGTTTATAATACCTAATACAATGTAAATGTTATGTAAATAGCTCTTACACTTTGTTTTTTTACTTGTATTGTTGCATTGTTATTTTTATTTTTCAAATATTTTCCATCAGTCTTTGGTTGAAACCATGGATATGGCACTTGTGGATATGGCAGACTGACTATAATAGTAACAATTATAGTAGTAGTAATGCTGGTGATGGTATTGGTAACAGTAGTGGTGAGTAACAGAGGTGTTAAAGAAATTTTTTCCAGTATGTGGAACCTTACAACAGTCTAGAGTATGATTTCGTTCTAGTCTCTGACAATTTGGATTTATCTTATAAATGCTTCATAATTTATCAGGATGCTACAAGGTTGTTAAAATTGAGGATTCCCAAGTAAACAGTATCTCTGTTTTCCTCAAGTTGTATATAGGTCTTCATATACTTTTTCTTTTAAAGTTTGAAACATCTACCATTCGGTCTAAAATAAATCCTTTAAATTAAGGCCAGGCATAAAATGGAAACATGTCAAATGGATTCAGATAATTTCTCAATTTGGGAAAATTTCAGGTATGGTATGCCTGCTAACCAAAGTATAAATTCCCAAATAGATTATAAGTATGTTAAGGAGGAATACAATATTATGCTTGTCATGTTAAGTAACTGAAAAATTTCGAAGAAGAAATATAGTTTCAAAAGTTACTTTACATCTGTGGGTTTCAAGATAACACAACTGCCATGCCTAGTCTCAGAAGGTATTTTAAGTGTGCAGTATGTCCAGCCTTAGGAGGGGCAAACCATAGCACAGAGTAAGGTAAGCCTTTGTAGGGTCTCAGAAAGCACTTGCAGGATCTGTGAGTTAAACTTGGTCAGGGTGCAGAACAGAATTTCCTGGGCTCTTTTAAGGTGTGGCCTGGTCTTGCAGTCTATACTCTCAGGCTCTCTGTTGCCTCCTTCATCAGTAAAATGGAAGAATGCAACTCTGGATCTCGACGACTCTTTTCTCTCCTAAGGAGCTGGAGACTGCCTAAACTTCACACAAAAAAACTCACAAATTCTTTTGAGAGGCCGAGGCGGGTGGATCACCTGAGGAGGAGTCTGAGACCAGCATGGTGAAACCCATCTCTACTAAAAACATGGTGAAACCCATCTCTACTAAAAAATACAAAAATTAGCCAGGAATGGTGGCGGGCACCTATAATCTCAGCTACTCAGGAGGCTGAGGCAGGAAAATCATTTGAACCAGGGAGGTGGAGGTTGTAGTGAGTCGAGATGGCACCACTGCACTCCAGCCTGGGTGGCAGAAGAAGACTCCGTATTAAAAAACAAACAAACAAAAAAAAACAACCCTTAGATCCTTTGCTCTAGGTGTGGTTAAAAGAACAAAATTATTATAATTGCTAGGCATAACTTTAGTCACTGCCTCACATCTTCCCCTACACGTGCACCAATGTGCATGTCTGTTTCCAAGAATAGGTGACTGTAGGAATAAGAATACTGCTGAAATGCTAAACGGTACACTGTTTTCTTGGGCCATCTTAATCATCACCTACAAAGCTGCAATTTTGGCAATATGAGCTGGCAGCCTGACCTAACGTCATTGTACCTTGGATCACTGAAGTGCCTCCTCACGTGACAAAAACTGCTGCACTTTCTTCCTACTTTGTTGCAGCCTCCATCAACCTTGTCCACCTCTTTCAGTCACCTGAGACTCTACGTGCACTGTTCAGTATGGCAGCTATGAGCCAATGTGGCCACCCAGTATGAAGAAGGGAGCCTTCTGAATTGATTGTAAAATGCACGCTATATTTCCAAGACTTAGCATGAAAAGAACAATGTAAAATAACTCAGTAATCTTTGATATTGTTTGCAGGTTGAAATGATAATATTTTGGATATAGTGATCTAAATAAATGATATTGTTAAAATTAGTTTTACCTATTTCTTTTTACTTTTTAAAGTGTGGCTACTAGAAAGTTTAAAATTGCAAATGTCATTTGCGTTTGGAGCTCACATTCTGTTTCTGTTCTATACTGCTAGTCTAAATAGTTTGCAGTCCTTTGCACTGTTGTGATCTGTTTAAGAAAAATCATCCTTGGACAATAGTGTCTAAAAGTTTTTAACCTTTTAGTATAGATATCAAATAGTTTTAAATGGCATATCAACTATATTCTGAATTTTAAACCTCTTTTTTTAAAAAAAGAATGAATATATGTGTCCAAAACAAAGCCAGTAATACTGGAAGTTCAAATCTGTTAAACCATAGCATAGACAATGGGATAAGCTATAGCAATACTGGGACACATAATAAAAGCAATGGTTCTTAACCTTTTTAGTGTCACAGACCCGTATTATTTTTGAACAAATATTTATTATGTACCTCATCCCAGCACTTTGGGAGGCCGAGGCGGGTGGATCACGAGGTCAAGAGATCGAGACCCTCCTGGTCAACATGGTGAAACCCCGTCTCTACTAAAAAAATTAGCTGGGCATGGTGGTGCGTGCCTGTAATCCCAGCTACTCAGGAGGCTGAGGCAGGAGAATTGCCTGAACCCAGGAGGTGGAGGGTGCAGTGAGCCAAGACCGTGCCATTGCACTCCAGCCTGAATAACAAGAGTGAAACTCCGTCTCAAAAAAAAAAAAGACTGTGATAGGCTCTGTAAAGACAGCTGAATAAATCTGAAACAAGTTTTAGATTCTCTCCCCAGAAAAATGCATGTACTACACATATACTTATAGATTTGCACTTAATTTTAGGCTCTTGAGAATCTTCTGAGGCCCATTTAGGAATTCTAGATTGACAGTCTGAATTTGAGAAAAGAGCTTTGGCTTTATGGCCAGATGCATCTAGGTTTGATTGCAGCCCCACTAGCTACCAGAGTGACTTTAGACTGTTATTTATATTCTTAAGGTCCCAATTTCTTCATCTATAAGATGAGGAATATGGAACAATGGCGATATTGTAAGGATTAGCATTAACATATAGAAAGATCTTTCTTGTTCAGACCAGGTGCTTAATAGATTATAACGATTATTTCTCATATTGCTTTATGTCAGGAGGTAGCTCAAATGGGTATGTTAGAGGACAGATTCTTTATATCTGAATTTTCTTTTGTGTGTCAAGGTTTTAAATTCTATAGTAACCCTAGAGATTAGTTGTTGAACAAAAATAGGTTTTGGTTCTTCACCCACATCATGACCTTTTAAATACGATGTCCAAAAATGGTGTGTGAGTGGTCTAGTGTAAGAACATACCTGCCCACGCCATAAGAGATATTATGTGGTGTGCACATATATTTTTCTGTGGTTTGAAAACAAGTTTGTGTCTACAAATCTTGAAGATAGGTTTCTGGTTTTGGAGGGCTTTTTTTTTTTTCCTTGCTTTATAAAGCCTGTCCTGATATGGATACATTTATTATAGACAATTTTCAGCAGAAATATGGCAAACTTTGGGATAAAAGTAGCCTTAAATGAATAAGAACTTGGTCTAAGAAGCCAAAAGGCATGCTATTCCTATACTCCTTGTTCTTCCAATGCCAAACTCTGGAATAATCCATCCTCCAAATCATTAAGTTAAAGGTAGAGTGATTCACCAACTATCAGGGGGTGAGGGTAAACCAGGCTTGTCATAATTTTATAGACTCCTGTTTCTACTCATGAAAACAAGTTATGTGTGGCATTTACGTACATCTGTGTTGCTGGGCATTTTCCAAATGCCTCTTGGAGAACATTAAACAGGAAATTGATGCCACAGGGCAAATAGTCATTCTTCCCATCCTCTCACAAAAACAAGTACAGATTTGCTGTGGCTAGACTGACTTCCTGCATTGTGCTGTTGCTTATTTGATTTTATACTAGAAGGGAAAAAAAGTACATTCTCTATTTTAATTTAGAGCATGTTAAAAATGACCAAAACGTATAAACAAAAAAAAAGCTTCCCTTCTGAGAGCACAGAAGTATAGAATTGAATGCTTTATAAAATCACAAAATCCAAATGTTAATGATTGCTCATCATGCCTATTGATGAAAGTCAATTTCTGTTACAGTAGACACATCAAATTTGGTTTAAACAGCATGTGCTCTAGTTTTCAAATGACAGAATCTTTACTTATGCATTTGGACACTGAAGCTTTTCATATAAGGATGGCATCATTTTCTAACCTATAATAGTGGTCTTTGTTAGTGGCACGTCCTCAGTATCCATTTCTCCCCATTCACTTTCTTATTAGCCCAGAAACTCTTCTGGGATCCATGGGGTTTTAAAACAACTGAATCCACCTCTAGCCCCAGAATGAATAATTTACCTTAGGTTAAACTATTCAATATATTATCTCCTCAAGCTAGAGATTTGTTCAAAGGGAGTGTGTAACCTAAGTTCATCCAATCAAAGTAAATCTAGAGGTTTTTTTCTTGGAAGAGGTTATGCTTTCTTTCCTGATAAACAAGAGCAGGGAATCAGTTGGCAGTTATCTTAGGATCATGATAAGCAGCTTTTTTTTTTGAGATGGAGTTTCTCTCTTGTTACCCAGGCTGGAGTGCAATGGCGCGATCTTGGCTCACCGCAACCTCCGCCTCCTGGGTTCAGGCAATTCTCCTGCCTCAGCCTCCTAAGTAGCTGGGATTACAGGCACGCACCACTATGCCCAGCTAATTTTTTGCATTTTTAGTAGAGATGGGATTTCACCATGTTGACCAGGATGGTCTCGATCTCTTGACCTCGTGATCCACCCGCCTCGGCCCCCCAGAGTGCTGGGATTACAGGCTTGAGCCACCGCGCCTGGCCGGTGAGCAGCTTTAAAATAAAGCAAATACTGTGGAGGACAGAACAGAGAAACAAATAGAAGAAATCAGGCCCTAGATGCCATCATTTTGCTGCTTGATCAAGCTTTACCTCAAAATCTATAACTGGACCATTTAGTAATATAAACCATATTAATATTTCCAATATTACTTTAACTAGCTTGATTCAGGTTTTCTGTAATTTGTAACCAAAGCTTTGTAACTGTCTTACCTATCTGTTGCAAGAGATTTATAAAAGAAAGGATGAGAAAAGTATGAGGGAAAAAAATGGCTCAAGTGCCTTTAATGCCAGTGCTCTTGTCTATCAAGAAAGAAGGCATAACTTTTCCCCAGGAAAAACCTCTAGATTTACTTTGATTTGATGAGTAACCACAATAGTCATGTGAGGTGGGAGAAAAGTCAATCCATGTACTTCACCCTGGGCCTAGGCAGAGATTAGGGCCCTTAGCAGCAGAGAGGGCCCACTCTCAACTAAGGTTACTCTTATGTCACTGTTCCTTCCAGACTGAACTGCAACACATGGAGTTTGCAACTACTGAAGTCATTTGACCACCATTTCTCCTAGATGGTTTCTACCACCTCCCTCTGAAAAATGATATCTTGTTATCTCCCATTTTATAGATGAAGAAACTGAAGCCAGAAACCCAAGTTTCACATATATTAAACAGCAGTGGAGGATAAAGCTCAGATGTTCTTATTCCAAAACCTAGAATCTTTGTCATACAACACATATCATCCTTGAAGTTTACCATGTGGTAATTGGGGTCCTCTAGAATGAGGCCTGGAAAGATTTGACATCCCTATCATTTCTTTCCCACTTCCTTTCACTAGGAGTAACCCCAAAATTTGTGTTGTTCCACATGGTCATCCTAATTTCTTTCGGCCGTGCTCCATGCTCCAAAAGTACCACCTTCCAACTCTCCATGACCTGACACCATCAAGACTCCTATTTCCTCGGTTCCTAGGATAAAAAAAAAAATCTGTCTAGAAATGCATTTGCTGAATGAATGCACACTAAGGTATGAAATATGATAACAGCTTTATGTGTTACTCCTGTCTCTGAACATACTTTGTAAGCAAGCACTTGGAAAGCCATTTGCCTTCCACTGAAGGAGTTAATATTGTGTCTATATTTCAGGCACTATGGCAAGTTGGAGATAAAAATATTTTGAGTCGAAGCCCTTCTTGGTAATCTTGCTACTTAAACTATTTCTTCCTTCACTTTCTCACAAGGCCTTACTTTGCTCCAGCCCATAAGTTTTCAGATAACTTTGGATACACCTTGATCTGGAAATAGAAATATTCTTTCACCAGCCTAACATAGACTCAATCATTCCTGAAGTAATCACACCCCCCCAGCTTCATTCAGCAAACTTTACTGAATGCTTACTGCATGTTGGCTCACTGTATGCGTGCTTACTGCCATGCAATATGCAGGCACTCCAACAGTTTAGGGTGTGGACTTGACAAAGATACCACGATATTTAGGCTCTTTTACTTGGCAAGGTACAGAGGCATACTTAGGTTACTTGAGAAGATAGAAATTGTTAGAAAAACAGATGGAAAACTGTGGAGCTGCAAGAAGCCCCTTGTAAGTGGCCCAGTCTCACGGAGAACTAGAGCATGGTGTAGTAATAGTATCTGAAGCTCTTACAATGTGACAAGAGCTCTAGTCATCTGGGCATCACCTCAGGTTTGTTTATCTAGTGAGTCCACAATTAGTGTGACTCAGCCATTGTCATTTCTTCACTTACTTTCCTTCCTTTTATAACTTTTCTCCACTGTATGTCTTCTCTTACCTCATTGCTTCTGCTTTAAGCCTTTACACATCATACTTTTGAGTCTCTGATACTCTCTTCTATCTGTGGCTCACCTTTTGCAACTCTACTCAAAAGATCCAAGAGGATCTATCCTAGGCATCTATTTCGGACTAAGTTCTTAAATCAGTTTTCCCATGAGGATTCATAGGGCCTTAGGACCAGGCACCAATACCTGGTTTAACCAGAGGCATATTAATTGTCCTAAGTATGACAACCTTTGACTTAGATCCTGGGATGCTGTAGAGTACCCATGAGAGATTTTCTTCTCTACTGATTTTAGCAATCCACCTCTCCCTGACCCAAAACAAAATGAACAGACTAGCCAGAACAGAATGACAGGTCACCACATACTTAGTGGTAATTTGGAGGAAAAATAATATTAGAGGTTTAGTGTACTAAGCACTGAAAGCAACATGAAAAATAAGGAAGCAAAACTGTCTAAGCTACTAAAAAACAAGATCTCATTTAATTGAGACCTAAAAGGATTATTATGTGTTCCAAATCCACCTATGGACAAGATAATTGGGAGTTGCAATGATAGTTCATAAAAACCCTGAATACAAGAGCTGAGAAGTACATCATGGGCCACTTATCCAACCCACTTATTTCATATTGGAGAATGCCCTGTTAGTTGACCAATTAATTAATTCACACAATTAGTGGTGAAGCCCAGACTCACAGCGATGTCCAATAAACCACCAGTTTATATTTCTGAGCTAATAATGAATTTCCCTGCCTAAAGATGAAGTAGATCATATTCAATGATCAAATAACTCTACTGATTATCCCAGTGAATGTGGATAAGGGCAAATAACAAAGTTGGGACAGAGCAGTTTAATGTATTCATACAAGATAATGTCTGTATTTTCAACAGCAGTAAAAGATGTAGTAAGATATAACAGAGAAAAGCAAAAAAGTAAGAACTTGGAATCTCAGATTCAATATTGTTCCTGCCATCAACTAGCTGTTTGGGCTTGGACTACTATCAACTTCTTCTAGCTCAGTCTCTTCATCTGTCTAAAGAAAAATTAGGCCAGAGGGCCACTGAGGTCTTACATGCCCATGACACCTCTAGCACTGCCTCTTTTGGGAATGACAGTGCCTACCTTTTGGGGATGGGATAAGCCCAGTGGACCAAGAATGCCAAATCAGCTGATTGCTAATCAACAAAATTGAGAAATTGATAGAACATTCTTAAAATTGTCTAAAGGCAAATGAACCAAGGAAGAATTTGGCCTTTCATGGATTCTTGGCTTAGATTTGTTGCCATCTCCAAAAGTACCCAGAAAGGCATTGAAAGTCATTACGCTTCACATAGGAAAACAAACAAATGCTATAGTTCACCATATATGGAGCCATTGAAACATTTAAGCATTCTTTTTCTTTCTAGTGAGCTGAAAATGGATAAAACAAAATGAAATTCAGGTCAGTGTGTGTGTGTGTGTGTGTGTGTGTGTGTGTGTGTGTATTTGGGATTCATTAGCACATAGTAACATTTAAAACCATGGGACCAGAAGAGAAATAAGGCAAAGGGAAGTAGACAACAAAATTGAAAACCAGGTCATATGGTATCCCAACTTTCAGATGTCAGGCAGAAGTAAAAGAGCCAACTATAAAAACTGAGTAGAGTTCAGTGGGTTAGGAAGAAAATCAAGACTATGTGATGTTTCCCCAGCTCTGAGCATGAAGTTAGTCAAAAAAAGGGAGGCCATTCTCATCTGTGTTGCATACTGTTAACAGGTCAAGTAAAATGAGAATGAAGAAAAAGCCACTGGATTTGACAATATGGGTATTTTTGGTGATTTTGACAAGATCAGTTGCAAGATCAAGATGCAATTCAGTGGCATCCTAGCAATTGAAGCCAGAATAAAGTTGGTTGAGATTGAATGGATTCAGTGCAATTCTAGTAAAAATCCAAATAAGATTTTTCTTTAAAATCAGCAAACTGATTCTAAAATGCATTATGTTGTCTCGTGATCTACTACCTATACCCATCCTAAGGTACCATTGTGACACCATGTCAACACAGGGCCTCTCTGAAGAGCAGGTAGTTGGAACAGGCTGCAGCTGGGGAACTGAAGAATAAACTTTTTACTCTGGAACTTCTTGCTAAATGTCTTAGGACATTTTCATATCTGTATACACACTCCTTCAACCCACCTAGGTTTGACACAGAGGTGGAGTGCAGATAGGATATAAGGTTTTTATCATAGAAAAGGAAACAGATAGGATGTAAGGTTTTTATCATAGAAAACAGATAGTATGTAAGGTTAAAACAGATAGGATGTAAGGTGACCATACTAGAATTTTACATTGTGGTTGGTTCCTCCTCAGCTGCTGAAGGTTCTTCTTTGTCCTGTGAGAAAGAAACTCACCTTATATCCTATCCTGGATACTTAGAATAGACTTTGGTTTTCATTTCTCCTCTTGATAAAGCTTTGGAGTTTGAGTCAATCTTTCCTCTAAAAAAGTCAGACTTTTGCAAGCCAAAAGACCTCACTCTCCGGCTATTTTGTATCCCGAGGGACTTAAAAAACTATTTTGAAATTCAAAAATCTAAGCAATGACCTCTTTGTTCTATGCTGTATCAAATATGATACTTTCCTTTTCTATGATAAAAACCTTACATGCTATCTGTTTTAACCTTACATCCTATCTGTTTTCTATGATAAAAACCTTACATCCTATCTGTTTGCTTTTCTATGATAAAAACCTTACATCCTATCTGTTTTAAAGGTTGAAAAAAATCCTGAATTACTAAAAAAGAAAAATACAATGAGATTTAAAAACAAATATTTTCCTGCTTTCCTCTTAACATGGAATTCCCTGCCCCTCAGGACACAGGGTCCCTTTCTATATACTTTTAGATAGTTTCCCAACTTATTTTGTATTCCAGCCACAACTGCTTCAGTACGTGTAATTCCCAAGAGCACTGGGCACTTGGATGGCGTCATGTCCTTGCACATGTGGTTTCCTTCTGCCTGAAATGCCCTCTCTTAAGCCAGCCTCTTCACTTTGTAAGATTTTAAACTCTTAGGCTGAGTTTAAGCTATTTCCTGTCACCTCTAAACCCACCTTTGTCTACCTTGTTTTGTGATGCTGGGGTTGGGACTCTGCAAACCACCTTTGTCTTTTGCCAGCAGAATTCCTTTTGGTTTTCTTCTGTATGGGACACTAAAGAAAGACCACAAAGCATGAGAGGATGGAGGGACTCGTTCCTTTCTATTTGCTTGATGTTCTGGTCACATTACCCCTCAATGACCCTGCATCGTGACAGCAGCAGCTGTTTCCAGTATCCAGCTTCTTGGCACTGTTATAACCAGGTTTCATTACCTTCCTCAGAAACACAAGCACCACTGGCTAATTTCCCCTTCCCTGAGGTCTGAGTCTTGTGTCTATGAGGTAGGTCTTCGAGCTTCTAAATGCAGATAATACCAATCTCTTCCTTTTGCTTACTCAGACCTACGGAGATGCAAAGTTACTGCCTCTGTGAAACCTCAATGTGCCCATTGTGCCTTTTTAGTTCTCCAGACCTGGTTAGCCAATTTCCTTTATTAAATTTTCTTGGTTGAAATTTTTATTTTCCAGACTTGTAGTCGTTCTCTGTTAAGACTATCTAAGCCATTGTGTCCACTCTCTGTCAAAGCATTTGTTTTTGTGCACGTTGTAGAGGGTTCCTTTGACGTGCTTATCACACTGTATTAGTATTTTCTTAGATGACAGTATCCTACCACTAGATTGTTAGGGATCAGAGATAGAGATCATATTTTGTTTATTTTTATATCACTTGTCTTCATCAGAGTGAATACAAACTCAGAAAGTGATCCTTAAATTAAATGAACAAACAAATGAATTAATGAGTATATAATTGTGAATGTATTCAGTGAATTAAAGAAAACATAACTGTATACATAGATTAGTCATGTATTATATCCAGTTCAAACAAAATGGCAACCTCTTGGTGGTAGCCCATGCATGTAATCCCAGCACTTTGGGAGGCCAAGGCGGGTGGATCATGAGGGCAGGAGATCAAGACCATCCTGGCCAACATGGTGAAAATCCATCTGTACTAAATATAAAAAATTAACTGTGCATAGTGGTGCCTGCCTGTAGTCTTAGCTACTTGGGAAGCTGAGGCAGGGGAATCACTTGAACCTGGGAGGCAGAGATTGCAGTGAGCCTAGACTGCACCGCTACACTCCAGCATGGGCCACAGAGCGAGACTCTGCCTCAAACAAACAAACAAAAAGACAACTCTTTATATACAGAATAAATTCCAAGTCCCCTTTAATTTGGTCCCTCCATGCCTCTCTGTCTCCCCCCTGTCTCTTTCATCCTAGTCATACTGAATGGCTTAGAGCTCCTAGAACACACCACCACACCTTTGTCTTCATCATAATTTCTTCCTGAAATGCTTATTTATGTCTAATTCCTTTAGTGTATTGCAAGCTATTTGAGATGCTCCTTTATTTCTATCACCCAGAAGAGTCCTGTAATATTGTAGATACTTTAATGTATAATTATTAAATAAGCACTTCCATATTGCTGCAGTTTCCATAATGATCCCTTTTGATCTTTGCATGCATTTTGTGTAGATTATATGCCGTGACTTACTTAATCACTACTTTATTGTTGGATATTAAGGTAGTTTCCAATGTTCACTACTATAATTAATGCAAGATAGCACTTTTTGTACAAGTAGCTTGTTTTCTTGTAAAGAGAGTTAGTATTTTTTCTTTTTCTTAAAAGAAGGGGCCTGGCGCAGTGGCTCACACCTGTAATCCCAGCACTCTGGGAGGCCGAGGCAGGCAGATCACGAGGTAAGAAATCAAGACCATCCTGGCTTAACACGGTGAAACCCTATCTCTACTAAAAATACAAAAATTAGCTGGGCACGGTGGTGCATGCCTGTAGTCCCAGCTACTGAGGAGGCTAGGTAAGAGAATCACTTGAACCTGGGAGACTGAGGTTGCAGTGAGCTGAGATCGTAACATTGCACTCTAGCCTGGTGACAGAGTGAAACTCCATCTCAAAAAAAAAAAAATAGAGTATGAGGTTTTTTTTTTTTAAAAAAAAAAAGAAAAGGAATTTTTATTTTTCTCAGTTGATGTCAGTGATGGTGGGCCTAAGTCTTAGGGGATACTTCTGAGGTCATCATCTTTTAAGAAAGACATCATCTGACTCACAATACTTTAAAATATTTCCTTAATGACTTGCAAATTAAGATACCAGTGTCCAAGTATTCCAGATGCAGTAGATCTGTATGCCTGAACTTTCATTTTCTCCAGCTTCTCTTTGAGTACACAGAGGTAGAATTCAAGTAGGTGGCATTTGACCTTGGGAGTGGAGTGGTAGAGACTTGAGGAATAGAAATTAAAATAGAACTTAAATTACCATCATCAAATCATACCAAAGCTCTTTTTACTATCTTCATTTGGAAACTTCTGGAAAATAAAGGAATAGCTTGATACATAAAACAGAAGCAATCATGAAAATTTGTCTAAGTAGATGTAAGTTATTCTGTTGTACTTTGTCTTCCTAATTGTTTTTCATTTGGTAATTGGTGATGTGTTTCCAACTATGACATGAAGTGCAGCCCATTATCATTTTCTATATAATTTCAATTAGATTTGGAATTTCCAAGTTGAAGAAGGGAGAGAGAAAGATTTAAAAGAGAGAGAGAGTGATTTTAAGGAGAGTGGTGTAAGCCTAAGATGAACTTCACTTTTAGCTTTGGGACATGTATCCTTCTAAACATAGACATGTGTCCTCATCTATAAATTGAGTAGAAGATCCCCAAAGACCTCTCTAACTCTGAATTTCCACAACTTTACATGTTTTAGTCCTAAAAAATACACAAACCTTAACTAAGCTCAAATGAGATTTTGACTTTCCTGAGTCTCAAGAACAAACAGCATAGCCTAACTCCCTTGCAGGTGTAAGTCATCTTGCATTTTCCTTTCCAGACGGAAAAATAACCCAAAGAATTTAACTGCTGTGACTTCTCAGGAAATCTTTCCCTACTTCATTCATTATGATTTATATGTTCTCCTTCTTCCAAATCTATGTGGAATCTGACCTGAACTCATTTTGCACTCTTTGTTGACATAAACTTCTGAAATAAATTTCTTACAACCTGCAAAAGACTTTGCCCAATTTAATTTAGTGAAAATAAATTAATGACTCCTCCTTGCAACTTATCGAGACTGTTTTTAATTTTATATTGCTGCTTTTCTTTAATTTAGAGTTAAAGAATAACCACTTCAATTTGAAGAAGATACCCTAGGCCATTTGACATGCCTCTGGCTCAGTTTGCAGATAATAAAAGAACCACTGTCTCCCCTGCTTCTTCAGGTTCACCCACAATTTATCAGATGAAAAAGCTTTCGTACAGCTCCTTGTTTCATATTCATTCAGCCAGCCAGTTTCTCCAATTTCCTCTCTAAAAGAACATGAAAGCTGTTTATAAAATGCCTCTATTTAGAAGTTCTCCTTAGGAGGCAAAAGAAAACCTCAAGCTTCTATTGAGTGTTGGCATTCTGCATCTTTGCTTTCAGACAACATTTGTGAATAGTGATGAGAATACATAATATATTACTGTGTGAAAGGGGAAAGAGAAGGAGCAAAAGGATGTTACTACCCCTACCAAAAGGGATCAGGGTCCTCATCATGAACCTCTGCTAAAGAAAGGTGCTGTTCAAAGGCAATCAGCCCTCTTTTCTACTGACTCATTGGCTAGAAGCCAGGATTGCCAGGGTCCAATTTAACTAACTGCGAGGGATTATTTTGAAGGAGAAATGGAGGTCACTAATCAGGGCAGCCCTTATTTGGCCATCTCAGCACTTTAGAAAATAATTCCTAAAGTTAGACATCTGAAGTGATGAAAATCAAATGGGAATGTTCAGTAAGGGTAGTTAGTCACAATTAGGAAAGCAGATTTCCTCCATACTATTCTTCTTTGGATGAATTCAAGTGGAGAACGTTTCACAACGTCCAGATGATATATCAATGATCCAGTAAGTTATGACACAATGTAATGCAAATTTTTAATATAAGCCAGAATTTGTCATTTAGTTAGAATGCTTCTTAAAATCATCACAGTGTTCTTTTATCATAATTATAGCCTCAGGTTAGTTGAAGGCAGCATTTCACTTTTTTGTAATCATGTTCAAGCAATTGTGCACTCCATAGTCAACCAACTTTTATTGAACCCTACTATATGCTAGTCCGATTCTGATTCAGAATCCTAATTCAGACCCCCTTTTTTAAAACTAAAAACTAAAATTGTATACTTTTAGGTTATTTTGTGATTCAGTTATCTATTATTCTGTGTGCTGGCAGAGAGAAAATTACACAGGCAGCATCTACTACTATTTCAGTTTTTAAAAAATTAGCTCTGGAGATACAGTCCTGAAAAAAAGAGAAAAGCTCCCTGTTCATGTGGAGGTGTTATTCTACAGAGTAAAGCACACATAAACATGTAAATAAACAACCGAACAAATTAATTTTAGATAATTTAAGTGATATGAAGAAAATAAAACAGGATATTGTAAGAGGGTGATAAAATAAACCATAACTACTTTAGGATGGACATAGAACCACTGAGAAAATAACATTTGTGCTTAGACTTAAATAATGTGCAAGACTCCATGGAAAGTCTGGGGGTGAAACCTGAGAAGCAGCAAGGGAAACCCCAGGGAGAATAAGCTTGGTGTGTTCAAGGAATAGGGGGACAACATGACTGTGGGGCCACAAGTTAGAAGAGACATACAAGGTGAGGTAGTAGAGATCGGTAGGAGCTAGATAATGCAAGTGCTATAGACCATTGGTAAAATACAACTGGGAAACATTGAGTGATTTGAAGCAAAAGATTAATATTTTCTATGTTTTAAATTTATCATTCTGGCTGCCATATGAGAAACAGATAGAAGCAAGAAGAGCAACTTAAAGTAGTTGAGGCAAGAGATTGGCGGATTAATGTTGGCAGTATCATGAGATTAAAGTGAATCAATTTGAGATGTTTTGAAGGCAGAACCTGAAAGCTTACTGAAGAAGGAATAGATATAGGCAGAGGGGAAGGCAGGAAACCAGTAAAATATTCAGGTTTGGTGGTGATGTTTACTGAGACAGAAAACTGAATTCATGGCGCCAGGGAGGAATAGGTTTGAGATGAATGCAGGAATCAAGAATTCTTCTCTGCAGCTCTGTTACAAAGATGTCTGTTGGATATCTGACTGGAGATATGATGATGTCTGTTGGATATCTCACTGGAGAAATGAAGGCTGGAGAAATAAGAGTGGATTTAATTGGTGTGTAAAAGATATATAAAGCTATGGGAGGAGAGAAAAGCAAGCAGCAGGAGGAGAGAAATGAAGCATTCCAGCATGTAGGGCCCCAGGAGTTAGCTTAAGGAAGTCTCCTTTGCTTTAACTCTTACATAAAAAAATAATCCAACATTAACCAATCAGCTTTTATTTATAGTCAGAGTCTGGCTCTGTCACCTAGGCTGGAGTATAGCGGCATGACCATAACTGACTACAGCCTCAAATTCCTGGGCTCAAGTCATCTTCCCACTCCTGAGTAGCTAGGACCACAGGTACATGCCACTATGCCTGGCTAATTGTTTTATTTTTGTTTTTGTAAAAATTAGGTCTCACTATGTTGCCCAGGCTGGTCTTGAACTCCTGGCCTCAAGTGATCCTCCTAATTTGACCTCCCAAGTGCTGGGATTATAGGTATGGGCTCAGTCAGCTCTTTTATTTTCTATGGTTCTGTTTCTTTGTCCCCACTTTACAAAACCCACTGTCCTATCATTGCCCAGGGTGAGCTCTTGTTCTATTTTTGTAGAATTGGAAGATACCAAAAGTCATGAATTCAAAATGAGAGTCAATTAGATCTATAACTAAATTTATGGCAATCTTGTTTTTGATGTGTGTAAAAAGCTTGGAAGTCACCATTCCCATCCCTATGAGAAAAAAACTGGACAATAAATAGATGTAGCATTTAATGTACTCTAAATGGAGGCCAAACCCCAGGCATAAGATACACGAGAGAAGGACTCAAACATTGCCTAAACATGCTGAAAGCTGCAGCACTCTGGCATGTTAACTTTCTGCTGTGGTGAAAATAGAGATGAAAATCGTTTCATCTGAGTTAGCAAATATTATGGAAAAATAAACGAATAGCTTTATTCCATGAGGGTGTTTATAACAAGTGACCGTCTCCGTATCACTGATGATGACCTCGTAAGCAGTTCTTCACTGAGACTGCGATTTGTCTCAGTATGGGGGTATCTGCATCCTGGGATGGGTTCAAAGAATTGTACAGCACACCTGTGTTTACTCAAGATTTTGAGAGCCCTGTTCGGTAATACTTAGTCATTTCCCCAGGGCTTGTAGAAGTTAAAGATGGGGTGGGGATCTTACATATGGGTGTAAAATCTCTGGATTAGTTTTACAGATGGGATGGTTCAGACTAATTAGTTCTTTGTAATCAAGCCCTTAGGAGTCTTCTACAGGGACTTCTCTCATGTCAATATAAGTGAGGCATGTCAAAGCCAACTATTCCAGGTTGGTTGCCTGAGAGACAAGTATGGCATTTGGAGCCAGGCCCATCTGTATTCAAATCCCAGCTCTGCCACTTTCTGGCTGCATGTCCTGAGACAAGTTATCCAAGTGGTCCAACTTCTAGTTTCCCCATCTGGAAGTGTAAGATGATGACAACACTTCACAAGCTTGTTGTGAGATTTAATGAGGTGCCATATGCTGAGTGACTAGTGTCACTAGACTAGGTACCATGTGCCTAGTTCCTCAATGAGTAGGTAAGAGATGCTTAATAAATTCTGGTCTCTTCTTTCTCTTTTAATATCAATAGTTTGTGGGCAAATGCTACAACCTGTGATAACCCCAAGAAATCATAACTATGGGCAAAAATTAAAGCTAAAATGGTGTACTTTTAGGTCATTGCCTGAGTCTCTGGTCCTTTTTATGAGCTAGCAGAGAGAAAATTGCCCATGCAATTTCACTGCTATTTCAGTTTGAGAAAGATTCTGTCAGTAAGCAGCATTCTTTCTAGGTTTGGTTCATTTCTTCAACATTGCTATGGTGCTAGTAACTTCAGTATTTAAATTCTAGAATACTTATTAAGAACAGAGAAACTGATCGAGACTATCCTGGCCAACATGGTGAAACCCCGTCTCTACTAAAAATACCAAAAATTAGCTGGGCATGGTGGCACATGCCTGTAATCCCAGCTACTTGGGTGGCTGAGGCAGGAGAATCACTTGAACCCAGGAGTCAGAGGTTGCGGTGAGCCAAGATTGTGCCATTGCACTCCAGCCTGGGCAACAAGAGCAAAACTCCATCTCAAAAAAAAAAAAAAAAAGAACAGAGAAACTTCCTATTAACTGCTTGCCAGATTTCCCTATTGCACATAGTACAGTAATTTGTCACAAAGACATTGTCATATTTTTACATAATTAACTCAACCAATATATACTGAGACCCTGTTAAGTGTCCAACATGGTATAGACAGTAGAGTGACAAAGATACATAAAATAGACACAGTCTGTGCTCTCAGTTTTACACATGCCAAGATTCACCAACCCATTCCACTGGCAGAAAAGTGACTTTCTTTTCCTGCTAAATTCCTATGAGGTCTTTTACTCAGGCAAAAATGCAACTTGTTTAAGATTCCTAGAATTACTTAGAAACATGAACTAAAGGCTATTGCTGTCTTTTCCCAGACAGCTTTCTCTTTAATCAAAGAATCAAACCTGCTTGATTTGTGTGTGCATGTTTTCAATCACAAAAAGTATCCACAATTGTTTTAAAATGTATTAGTTTCCTTTAAAATGGAAGTTTCCCCTTCTCTGCTAGAGGAGAAGCTATTGACTGCTAGAATTTAATATCTACACTTGTAGACATTTTTCTAAGGAGATACAAGTACTTATTTCTGTTACTTACCCTCATCCCCCAGGCACACGTAGTACTTGCTTTGTTTTTACCATGATAATATTATATTTACATACTACTCTATAACTTGATTTTTAATATAGCAATACATTATGAACATGTTACTATTTTAGTTTATTAATCTATCTACTTTATTAGTGGGCTGTATAATAGCCATGGAATAAATAAATCATAGTTTTTTCTAAACCATTCTTGAACTGATAGAACTTTGTATTGTTTCCAGTGTATTGCCATTATAGAAAATTATTTAGTGAATACCCTGTACATATATTTTCACATTTGTGTGAGCTTGTCTATAGGATGGATTCCTACAGCTGACAAGTAGAAGTGCTGCCACAAAGGGGTTATGCCTTTTAAGCTCAGATAGTGTGAAATTGCCTTCAAGAAACGCAATACCCATTTAGGTTCCCATTAGCACAATATGAGAACGCCCATTTCTTCCCTCTCTCTGATACTGAATATTATTATCAATCTTAATATTTGTCAACCTGAAAGGCAAAAAATGAGATTTCATTTTATCTTTTAGAGATTTAGGGTCTCACTGTGTCACCTATGCTAGAGTGCAGTGGTATGATCATAGCTCACTTCAGCTTTGAACTCCTTCTGCCCCAAGGGATCCTCCCACCTCAGACTCCTGAGTAGCTAGAACTATAGGTGTGTGTCACCAAGTCTGGCCAATTTTTTTTTTCTTTTTCTGTAGAGATGGGGTCTCATTATGTTGTCCAGGCTGATTTTTAACTCCTGGCCCTAAGTGATCCTCCCACCTCAGCCTCTCAAAGTACTGGGATTGAAGGTATGAGCCATCATTTCCAGCCTGGGATTTTATTTTAGTTTGTAGACTTGTTTGTCCAATCTGACATATGTTAAACAAAAATTTTGGAGGCCATTGTTTTGGACTGAGCTTCCACATTAGTTTCCAACAAACCAGACCAAATCGAATGGAGTCACTCATGCTAAATGCCACATAATCATATTGAAATTTTATAGAAGCAGACATATCCCAAAACAGACCAATTTTTCATGAAAACAGGAGATCCCAGTCTACCTGGGTCAGCTTAAGGAAGACTCATCTGCTTTAACTCTTACATAAAAAGTAATCTGACATTAACCAATCAGCTTTTAATCTTTTTTTTTTTTTTTTTAGATAGAGTCTGGCTCTGTCACCTAGGCTGGAGTACAGCAGCATGACCATAACTGACTACAGCCTCGAATTCCTGGGCTCAAGTCATCTTCCCACCTCCTGAGTAGCTATGACCACAGGTACATGCCACTATTCCTGGCTAATTTTTTTATTTTTGTTTTTGTAGAGATGAAGTCTCACTATGTTGCCCAGGCTGGTCTTGAACTCCTGGCCTCAAGTGACCCTCCTACCTTGGCCTCTCAAGTGCTGGGATTATAGGTATGGGCTCAGTCAGCTCTTTTATTTTCTACAGTTCTGTTTCTTTGTCCCTATTTGACAAAACTCACTGTCCTATCATTGCCCAGGGTGAGCTCTTGTTCTATTTTTGTAGAATTGGAGGATGCCTAAAGTCATGAATTCAAAATAAGAGTCAATTAGATCTATAACTAAATTTGTGGCAATTTTGTTTTTGATGTGTGTAAAAAGCTTGGAAGTCACCCTTCCCATCCCTATGAGAAAAAGCTAGACAAACTAAAAATCAATGACTTTTTTGGATCTATGAGAGAACTGAAGTTTCAGAGTAAACCGCACCCTGAGATCTGGAGACATGTTCATCTAGAGAGATACAGCAGAAGCCACTGTAGTAAAAAGAGTGGCAACACCTACTTCACCAGTAAATGTGAAGAATTACTAGAAGTCAAGTATGGACTAATGTGACAGTGAGAACACTGAAGCCCCAATCATAGGGGTATTAAATACTTCTTCCCATAATTTTGAGGTCTTTCTCCTTCAGAATCCTAGCAGGTTCTCAGGGTAAGGAGCTGAGAAACCCCCGCTTGTGGCCCTGGAAAGGCTTGGAAAGAGTAGCAATAGTGTAACCCTCCGAGCTGTTTCTCTGTAACAAAAGCCTACACTCCAAGGGTAAAGTAGTCTCCCCCCTTAACCATAGTTTTGCTTTTCATGATTTGTTATCTGTGGTATAGTATGGTATAAAGATATTTTCAGAGAGAAATCACATTCACATAACTTTCATTACAGTATATTGTTATGATTTTTCTATTATTAGTTATTGTTAATCTTTTACTGTACTAATGCAGAAATTAAACCTTATCACACGTATATATTTATAGGAAAAAACATAGCATATATAGAGTTTAGTATTATCTGAGGTTTCAGGCATCCCCACTGGTGGTCTTGGAACATATCAGCTACAAATAAGTGAAGACTACTGTATAGGGCAATACTGAAGCCATATTCTACCTGGTGGAGTGGATTTTCACCCTACTTCACTCCCTAGACTTCCTGTCTAACCTAAAAGAAACAAAAGGAAAACCAAAACAAACATAGTAGGGCACTAGGACTAGAGTATAGTAGGAGAAGGAGGGGTGGGGTGATGTGGGGGTCCTCTATCAGGGAAAAGGGACAAAAATACTTGTGAAGGCCACACCCCTGAGACATAGGCCCACTGAAAGACAGAGACTTAATTATAAGATTATAGAACACCTCCTCTCCTTCATACTTTACCACCATATCAATATACTTTTTCAGTTGATTACAGCTGAAAGAACTGCAAGATCCAGACTCTGAGTAGCAATACAAATGGAGCCACAAAGGCAAGAGAGAGGACAAAAACAAGGACTCTAGAAGAATCTGAAGCTTCTGGAACTTACAGCTATAATAATCATTAAACACAGCCCAACTCCAGGTCAGATTAACATAAATCCTCACACAAAAGGCCTGTTTACTTCAGTACCTATCAGAAATACATAATATGTGGCTCTCAACAAAAAAATCACAAGGCACACTAAAATATAAGAAAGGGACAGCCTGAAGGGACAGAGTGATCATCAGAACTAGAATCAGATCTGATACAAAAATTGGAATTATCATACAAGAAATTTAAAATTACCGATTTATATGTTATGAGCTCAAATGGAAAAATAACCAGCATGCAATACCAAATTCATAATGTCAGCAAAGAGATAGAAACTATTAATAAAAGAAACAAAAGGAAATACTGTAAATGGAAAACTAACAAAACTGGAGAATGTCTTCAACAGGTTTAGCTACTGGACATAGTTGAAGAAAGAATCAGGTCATTTTAACATCATTTAAATGGAAATTTCCCAAATTGAAGCACAAAGAGGAAAAAGAATCTCAAAAACCCAGAACACTGAAGAACTGTGGACAATATCAAAAGAGGTAACATATGCATAATTTAAATACTGGAAAGATAAGATAAAAAATTATGATCAAATATTTGAAAAAATATATTTTTTGGTAAATTAGATGATCAGACATATAAACTGCCTATGCAGGATAAAGTCAATGGCTTTTGAAAGGAGGTTAGGTAGTTCATCTATAAATTTCATGTATTCTCATCACATGTATTTGAATATCTGATCATTAAGTTCCTTGGTAGGAACAGCCTAGAGGATTTTCTGCAGTGAAAGCGTTAATGGATTTTTTTTTCAACTCAAAGATGAGTAATCTTGTCAGGGAATGAGGTGTTGAGAGTGAAGGATGTAGAAAACAGCAGTAATATAAGAGTACAGTCAGGCATGTGGCTCACGCCTATAATCCTAACACTTTGGGAGGCCGCGGCAGGCCTATCACTTGAGCCCTGGTGTTTGAGACCAGCCTGGACAACATGGTGAAACCCACTCTCTACATAAAATACAAAAAATTAGCTGGACATTGTGGTGTGTGCCTATAGTCCCAGCTCCTCTGGAGGCTGAGGTAGGATTGTTTGAGCCCGGGAGGCAGAAGTTACAGTGAGCCAAGATAGCACCACTGCATTCCAGCATGGGTGACAGAGGAATACTGTCTCAAAAGGAAAAAAAAAAAAAAAAAAGAATATAACTACCTCCAGAAATCAAGCATTGAGGCACAGATTTTTTTTTTCTGTAAGATTTATTTTATGCTGCAAATTCCTACATAAACTCATTAAATGGATATATATTGATCACAGGGAAAACAATATGATTATTAATAGAAGGATGACAGCTTAGTTTTGAGTGGTATGAGTCATGAAAAGAATGAGTAAAAAAAAAAAACAACAAGAAAACAGTCAAAAGAATCTCATTCACCAAGAGCTGAACCTTTCACAAAGTTTAGCTTTCACGACTTGAGGCATTTGTATAATTGTTATGATTGTCATGAGGCCTCCATGCAAATTTTCCGATTTTCCTAGATGAGAATTTCCAGCAGTTTCTTATCAGTCATGGCTGTTACATGAGTTCCCTCCCCTGAGTTACAACAATCTAGCCAGCACTGTGCTCAAAAGGGACCCTGAATCCTTTAGCATTTATCACCAGGTCCAGAGAGTTTCAAAAATGTTTGAAGTTGATGGCGCAATGGAGCATAACTTTCTGTTCAAAGAGCAGTATCTTCCAAATTAAATTGAGTAAGCCTCAATTTCAAGCACACTTTTCCCTTGTTGCTAAATTGAAATCCATTTCTTCTCCCCACCAAATTTGGGATGGGCCACTTAGTGGATCTTCCCTAAACTACCAAATAGAGTTTCATCTTCTATGGCAGTTTAATGACTGAGTATTAAGAGCCAGAGTCTAAACTGAGTCCAGGATCACACAAAATCTGCTCTATGTGCCTGCCTAGAGAACACAGCAGGGGATTTTCTGTCTTAAGTAGCTAGGCAGGCCGTGCATTTGAAATGAGAAGCATGCCCTAAAATGTTCACAGCATATTGCAGTCAAATGTTTCCTATCTTCTTCAGAAGATAAGCTGGAGCAGTTTTGTTTTCTCTGATTTAAAAAAAAAAGTACAATAAAACATGATGGGGAGGAGAGACAAGTCAAACAAACAACTCCACATGATTCTTGTGCATGAGCCCCTTTCACACAGGGCAATGTGTGTGCAAGGCTTTACTCTCCCATCTCACAAGGCAAAAAGATGACTCTGTAAAAGTCCCTGGAGTGAAGTGATAAGGGTGAGGCAAAGAGGGAGAAAAAAACTAAAGTCTTAATTTGGGACCATAAAGTATGCTTATACCAGTTCAGAAAAGCAGAGAATTCTTGCCCCCTTTTTTTATTTCCAAAGTTCTATTTCTTTACCAAACCATGAAGAACCACAACCTATCCAAAATGAATCACAGAAAATCCAGTCTCAGCATTTATTTTTAAATAACACATCTAGTCATATTATGCAGAGTCACAAATAGCATACATAACTAAAACTCCAGGCATTTAAAAACATGTGTGTAGCCTTCTTAAATCCAAGGAAACATTGAGAGCTATTTATTTTTGAATATGAGCATTATTTGGGTGGTAACCTTTGAAGGTTTTCTTTTACTGGTAAAAGACAATGATGTATCTTGCCCTGATGAAGGCAAACCCAAGACAGGCTTGTAAGGTAGAGTCAGAGAGACTCATTAGCCAAAACTTTTCCTTTTCAGAAGACCATTCATTTTTATCAAATGTCTTCTGAAGAAATTGCGATGTTCATCCTGAAATTTTCCTTTGCAGGAATCTATTGCAAAGAGTGCATCCGATTCTAGATAATAGTTTCTTATTTGCATGAGGGATCCTGTCCTTTTGCATTTGCTTTCCTATTGATTTCTGCAGCTATATTTGTCCTTCTGTGAGTATGACAGCCATAGCTCTGTTGTGACCCCTGGTAATGAGTGTACATCTACGTATAAGTGGTATAGAGCTTCCTGGCTCTGAAATAAGTGTGAGCACACAGAGCTTTCTTTACTTTTTAATCTCAGGATCAGTAGATTTATTGGGATGGTGCTGACATAAAAAATGAAATGAAACATCTGTGTCTAACAGCTGCACAAAATTTGGATTCATGTAAACTGCTCTGACATCACACATTCTGCATGTGAGTTCCATGAGTAGTCTCCGTATGGTGCTAATACAATAACATGCCTACAAAGTCCCTGTGGTTTATGGTGTGATGAACTCCAGAACTGAGGAGATGAGCCAAGAAGCCTATACCATTTGCTGAATGGCGCTGGCTTTGGGTAATATCTTGCCCTCACTGAACTACTCAGTTTCACTAGGGATAAGAAACCAGACTGGGCATGGTACCAACAATAAGCTTTATATTGGGGATGTTGGTCACCACTCCTCTAACGTGGTAGGAGAGAAGTCTCACAATGATTTTTGCCTTACTCATAGAAAAATAGATGTGGGATTGCAAACGGGTGATGGATGGGTAAGTGAAGCAAGTTTACCCCTTCTAGGTAGTCAGGAAAAGACAGGTAAAAGGAGAGAAAGAAAACATATGTAATGTTTCAAAGCAGATCCTGGAAAGATACAGCAATCCTTTTCTGGGAGTTTGGAGTCATGCCCAGGGTACATGGTAGCATTGATCAGATCAGTGACACACCACACTGACCTACGGCTATAAACAAAAGCCACACATGTTCTCTTTCTTCTGCTAAAGACGGGCTGCAGGAATTTGGCAAATAGTTGTAGTTGTTCTGACAGACTACACATGTAGACTAGAAAAAAAATCTGTTCTTATTTAATTTTTTTAAAAAGACCCAAACCACTTGAATATCTATTGGCCAATTAACCATATAGAGGAAGACTTTTGAAAAATACCTAGCAGTAGCTCAGCTTTCCCTATTTGCTCAGCATAGCTGGATTACTTCCCTCACATCAGTTGCTAGGATCAGAAAGTACACACTGCAAGTGTAGCATTATACACAAATTCATATGATAGATTTTTCAGGTCCAATAAACATAAAATGCAATACTCATTTGCACGAGAGAATTACTAAGTGGATACATCAAGTTGGGGCCCCTTCATATTTTAAAGCAGCTTCTATTGGCTATATGAAATAGTGCATCTTAGCTCTGTTGGACAATATAAATACACAAGCAGAAAGAGATCTATCAGAGCTGAATTTCAAGAGTTTTGAATGTGTAGACAGAGAATCTTGGGCACAGGTGTGATTTCCATGGTCTGAGGAAGAGCAAAAGGAAGGGAGAAAAAGGAAATTGGGATAGGAGAAAAATCAGGAAAGTGATAAAATTCTCAAAGTCCTAGCAAGCATTTTCATATACAAAACATCCAGTATTACCTAGATAATGTTTTTCTCCAATGAAAAATTTTTAATTTTCTTAAATTATTAGAAAGACAAAACTACATTAATAGAAAAAAATACTTCATAAAGAATTTTGTTAAAATTTACTCACCATAAAAATGAGAAACTCCTGTGATTTTAATGGACACTTAAGCAAAATATAAGTTAAGAGATAACCTTAATAATGGAATCACCATAGAGTGCATTTTAAAGCCAGTTTAAAAATTCTCCTTTATTGTGACCATCATGCTGTTCCTCTCCTCTATCATTATGGTCAATGCAGAGATGATTGTCAAAGAAAAGCAAATGGGTTTGCGAGGAATTCTAATCTTCTAATCTTCTAATCTCCTGGGGCCCACTGTGGTGGCTTAGATCCACCCCACTGCTGCTGAAATCAGAGTCTATTTTGGAGCTCTAGGCAGGTTCTAGAATCTTCTCTAATTACCCCAACTGGAATTAAACAAACTATACAGCGTTAATGAACTGTGTGGCCACATCTGCCTGTGCCAGACACGTTACAGCCCTGCTGCATGCTGTTAGGTTACCGCACACTAATTATCTTTTGGGTTTTCTGCACATTCTTTTCCAAACAAGGCAGCCCTGCCAACTTGTCAACAGGGCATTTACTCTAAAAATGAAGTTACTTTATTTTTTTGCCTGAGAATTCCTATAGTCACTTTCTTACAGACAGTAATGGAAGTGGGATTTTTTCTTTTTTTTAACCGCCTCTTTAAATTTAAGGAGAGGGGGACAAAAATCTCTGTAAGCTAATACATACCTTCTTTGGTGGTTGTAGTGCTGCAAGTTTTTCTGATTTAAACCAGAGAAGAAGAAATGTCACCATTCTCAGCTGGTAGGAAAAAAAAATGTAGGTGGATGGTGTGAAATTTAAGCAGACTTGGGAAAGTACTAATCCACATGTGGAGTTCTCCACTGGAGATGTGTTTTGACAGCTCTCTGGTAATATCCTGTTTTGGTTTGCCCACTTCATGTTAATGCATGAGGCAGCATGTTATAGCTGAAACAGCAAGGGTTTTGAGATCAAGTGTCCCAGCCCTGACACATTTAGTTAGGCCAGCATTTACTTCTCTGAGCTTCAGTTTCGTCATCTGACAATTGGAGATAAACATACCTAACTCAATGA